TAAGTTGAGGATGACCTGTATGTTCTTCTTTTATTTTCTCCAGTTTAAGGAACTGTGATTGTGTTTTGAATTTATGCACCAAGCAAAATTGTTGAGTTGGACAGCTTTAGAAATCTAAATTATAACATATAAACAAAAAGTGTTCATTCTACTTACACACTATCCTGGAAGGTACTGAAGTCATTAACTTGTGTCCCAAACACAAGATAAGCTAGCTGAGCATAGGCTAAGAAGATGATGAAAAACATAATTGCAAAGCCAAGAATATCTTTGGCACATCTTGACATGGTTGTTGACAACTGGTTCATGGTTCGATTGAAGCTGATAAATTTGAAAAGCTGATGAAGAAGAGAAAATGGTTTAAAACAAGGAGCCAACAGTAGCTAAAAGAATTGAGCTACTGACCAGAAAGAATTGCAGTGAACAAATTCCATACCAAATCGTTAAGTAGGATATTTTCATTTCATGTTTACATGTTCACCGAGCTGTGGTTTGTGATACAAAAGTGAAGGAAAACCACAGTTTATATGGAAATAACATCTTAAATATTAAGAAACTTTATGTCAAGGACTATTCCAAAGACTGCTTTTTTTGGACAGCTCAAGATATAGACAAATATGTTAAAGTTTTAAATTGAGGCTTATTTTCACTTTTGGTGGTCATTTGCCTACCTTGGTGCTTAGATGTTTTCAGCTGAAACACTGAATATACTATCTCAGTTGTATATTATTAGAACAGACAAAAAGGAAAGTCATTCTTGGGGGCAGAATATACTGTAAATATCAATTGCTTGCATTTGATATCATATTAAGTTGCATCAAGTATATAAAAAGGAGTGAGGCTTTGATTGTATGATGTAATGAGCCCTTAGAATAACCTTGAAGAAGAGGAAGAACAGCTACAGCTCTGATAATGATTAGAATAACAGTGGAATTTGAGAATTCCCCTCCTTTCCTTTATTCTTCCTAGTTCTTTGTAGGATGAAGGCAAAATTCCAGGGCTGGTGTCAGCCCTTTGTGGTAGGCCAGATATGAACACCAAAGTCATGAATACTGAAACTACAGGTTTCAGCTTATGTCCACGATTGAGCCCAATTTTTTTGTGATTAGGCGAGACAGTTGTTAAGTGAGTTTTGCCCCTTTTAAGACCTTTTTTCCCACGGTTGTTAAATGAATCATTGCATTAAATGAATCATTAGTAACATGGTGGTTAAGTGAATCTGGCTTCCCCATTGTCAGAAGGTCGCAAATGATCCCGGGACACTGCAACTGTCACAAATACCAGTCAGTTGCTAAGTGGCTGAATTTTGATCATGTGACCATGGGGATGCTTGTAGCTGGCCTTATGTGCGAAAGACGATCATAAATCGCCTTTTTCAGTGCTGTTGTAACTTTGAAAGGTCGCTAAATGAGCTGTTACAAGTCAAGGTCTACTTGTATTTCATTATAGAGATACAGTAACAGAATTTTGTAATTCCGAATGTGTCTCTCCCCCTAGAGAGGGTCTGAGATACTTTCTCAAATTCCATTCCTGCTCTGGACTCAGATTTCCCTTATTTGATTTTGCCTTGGCTGCAACTCTTCCTCCTCTTCCTCAGAACCCATCCCATAAGTTTAGACTGCCATCTTGTCTTTTTTTTTTGATCCTCCTCCTCCTCCTCCTCGCTGGACCTCCTGGATTGGAGACAGCACGTAATTCATCCCTTTCACGGTCCCCCCTTTCTCTTTCTCTCTCTCTCTCTCCCTCACCCCATCACCACTAATGACTCGGACAAGGCAACTTTATCTCTTTTTTTGTTTTCATTTGGGAAGAGAAAGCTAAGGTGCAAAATGGTTGCCTTAAGCCCCGTAGAAGCTTAAAATGTCTATTTCATGTCTTAAATACTCCACAAAACTGTGTCCTAGCCTGGTCATTTTTAGAGGGCGACCTCTGTCCAGTGGACATATTCATGGTGATGGAAGCTTTGCTTTACTCTAGATACGATCCGCATGGCACAAGAGAGAGAACTGTTTTAGACCTAGAGTTCTCCTACCTATTATTCTTCCGCAAGGCTAGAAGGTCTTCAATACCCTTTCATTTTGCCTTTAGTGAAATCCAAATAAATACTATGAATGTGATTTAGTATCATGTGGATTGTCTCAAAGCAAATCAATTGTAAACCATTTTCATTTTCAGTGATTTTTACTATTACATTTCCGCTGTGTAAAATGGAAAGTGTTACTGTGGGGGTAATGGTGGGCCTACATTTTTTCCCCTCACAAACCGTGATTTATCACAGCATATGAACTTTGCCACCCTTTTAAGCAGAAATATTTTTAAAAGCTACTTTTTAATTCTCTAGGCAACCACATAATACACACTTAAATTACTAAACTGTATTTTTAATCCTGCAATTATGGCAAACGCTAACTTGGACTGGGCTTTCTGCTCCTTTTTAGAAAAAGCTCTTGTTAGTCAACCAAAGCTTTTAAAATAATTTTTACATGCCATGTCAGAAAGCAGTAAGAAAAAAAAACCTTAACTGCAAGGATTTTATTTATTGCAGTACATTGTTCTGTGTTCTTGACTTTTAGGATAGATAGACATTAAAAGAACAAAAGAGAGACAGACCTTGAATGCAAATTGATTTTCCCCACTCCCAAATTATAACTATTCACTTTTTCAAAAGAAAAAANCTTTATCCAGACGAAAAACATGGTAACAGCTGCAACATTATTGAACTGGGTTTGCCAGTATGCTAAAGGTTCAAAATTGGGGAAGCTATTTTGATCTTCCAGCAGTTTCTTCACTAGCTTATTCACAGTAGATATTTGATAGATATTCAATCCAATAGCTGCCAATGATAGCTGAGAATAGAAAAAAAAAGAAAAAAAACATACACAAAGTTTGGTGGACTAATTTTATTGCTGCTGCATAATATTGTAATCCTGTCAATATAGACTTAACTGTTCTTTTAACTTCTAGTTTACACATGGTACCACCAAAAGAAAACATTCTGGGTATCTTTAGTATCATAAGTACATATTTGGAGTATTGAGGAAACAGTATTGAAAAGAGATTCAAAAAGATTCTCCAGATAGTTGGGAGACCACTCTGAAATTCGTGGCCCATCCCTTTGGGCCCTTCATAATGTCTTGAAAACATGGCTTTATGCTCAAGCCTGGGGCCCATCTTAGAAAACCATCTCCTGGTTGTATGGATTAAGATGATGCCCAGCTATTTATTTTTATTTTATGTGTCTTTATACATTTATTGTAAGCCTCCTAGCATCGCATAAAAGTCAAATGGGCACCTACATAAATAAAGTAGATAATACAGTATAAAATACTTTGTAGTATAAGCATCTGGTTTCCTGTTCCATTGCTTTGGCTACTGATTCATCAAAGATGGGAAGGTTGCTGTTTATTTCAAATATTTTTTTTTTCTAGCAGCATCAGGAAGGAAGGCATCTCTAGCAGTTGTGGTATAGAAGGGACAAACAAACAAGGAGGCATCTATCTCTTTGTTCATCAGAAACTTGAGAGTTGACAACTCCCTACAAAGTTTCCAGAATATTTCAAATTAGCTCAGTATTTAAATGGGTTTACTTACCGTGATAATGAGAACATCGAGACAGTTCCAAAGACTCCTAAAATAGAACAACCTGTGAATGTGAATTTCCAGGATTTCTTCCACCACATAATAAATAATAAAGAGGCAAAAAACAAGTTCACAAGCAGCCAAGAAAAAGTCAAAAGTGGTAATGTAGTGGATTAACTTCACTGGCTGGAATTGCCAGGATGTCAGGAGGCCTCCGGTGGGTGGGAATTCCACCAATAACCTGCATTTAAAAATAAAAGTTATCTTGTCATCGATTATTCTTTCGTTGCTCAGCTGATATTAAATATCTTTTTTAAGCCAAGGGTGGACAATTAAGATGTTAAAGTGATAAGTAACAATACCTATGGAAATCCTATGCTTTAACTATTTTATTAAAATATGTTAATTAAAATTATTTTTAACTTTAACACAAAATATTCTTTTTTATAATTTGCAAGTATTGGATTATTTCACTTACGCTTACTAACCTATGTTTGAAATAAATATATAGGGTTTTTATTTATGACCCTCGGTTTGGTGTGGTGGTTAAGGCTCCAGACTAGAAACTGGGAGACGATGAGTCTTAAACCTGCCTTAAGCACAAAGCCAGCTGGGTGACTAGGAAGGAGGCAATGGCAAACTATTTCCATAACTGGTGCCAGGAAGATTTGTTCATGTAGTTGCTAGGAGTCAAGTCTGACTTGAAAGGATTCCCCCACTCCCAAAAGAAAAAGAAACATTTGCAATATCATAATGAACAAAAACATCATATAATCAATATATAATTGAGGCTGGCAATAATATCATACATTCTCAGCACAAAATGGGCTCATCTCAGTCCAGCTCAAGGGGGGGGGGTGGACGACCAGATCTTTGTGGCTCTGCAAAAGGCCAATAGAGTTGAGGCCATTGGGGTGGGGGGGAGTGGTCATAGCAACAAAGAACTTTGTACATTATTTTCTAGAGTATGCCTGCTACATTTTTCTCTAAATTATCATTCTTCTTTTTATTGGGAAACGGTCTAGAGTCGTTGAGGCCACTTGGAAGTTTATCTGTGTCTTCAGGGTCACCCATTTGCACTACTCAGGTGACCCTGAGGATACAGGTAAACCTCCAAATGGCCTCAACGACTCTCTAAAAGAAGGCAAATGACCAGCTGTCTGCAAGGAGTATAAATCCTTCTATTCCCCACCATCCAGTCAGAGCTGAAGAAGCTCCTTGGATGAGAAGCGAAACAGTCTTAAAAGAAAAAAAGCACTTTTGGAACTTTTACCTACATGCTATTATTCTTATTAAAAATACCCCAAATCCACAACGTTAATTATAGCCTCGTGAGAGAAAAAAAAAACACATTATGGGAAGTATGGCCTTCCTGTTGAGTATAATGGAGATGACACCCACATGCACCAGAAGGTGGCCTTCACAAATCAAGAGTTAATGCTCAGTTAATAGTCAAACAGGCCATGCTCACCTGACAATGAAGAATAGATTGATATTTGCATTGTAGACGGAAAAGTCGATAAATACTGCCCTTGTGCCTCTGTCAAGCCACAAGTTGTTCTTAAGGACAGCAATCAAGGCAGAGGTGTCTTCTTTGCTTTTTGAGAGCTCCTGGTAATAGCCAGCTCCACTGTATGTGGCGATCAACCCCCAGTGGCTGCTCCCATTCAAGTCTTTTTCACTGCTGTACGTCCATCTACAACACAACATTAGAATCATGAGAATTACAAGAATCCTACCTCCGTTACTGCCATCTTGAACACTTATGAAACGAATTATCCCTAAGCATTTTTTTTCATCAGCAGTAAAACATGATGACAAAATATTTGAATATTTGTTGAATCTGCGGTATGCGCCATACATTGAATATTTTTCCTAGTAGGTGGGGTGGTAGCAACTTGCAGGGGCCATCTCCAGGATAGTTTATCAGCTGTCTTAGTAGCATTGAAAAGCATGAGCATACTTGGTATAAAATTGGGTATGGGTTGCTCATGTAGCATGCCCTATTACTGTAGTCAAACGTCAAAAATGGAGTACTGTCCTATTGGGTATGGGTATGGGTAACGTAAGGGCTGATAATGTACTCTACACCCTCTCTGCCTTATTAAAATGCATTATTAAGTCTTGATCAATAAAAATTTCATAGCTGGCACATCTGGTAAGCATATAGAGGTTTGGTCTCCAGAACATAAGAAGAATAAACTTTAAATAGAATGAATGAATGAGCTAACAAATAAATGAAGAAATGTAGTTGTTATCTGATGTTATGGACGTGGTTGTTTAAAGGCCTTAGAAGCTTTAAGTCAGCGGTTCTCAACCTATGGGTCAGGACCCCATTTGGGGCCGATCGACCATTTCACGGGGGTCACCAAGCAAGGCTGTCCGCCATTTTTTTCCCCTTTTCTGGCGGGTGCCTTACCTCCCTTGGGCTGGGACAGCTGGTGGTCGGCCTGCTCCGTCTCTGCCGCTTGCCAGCTACGCCTCGGCCGGCGCAGGGGGCAGAACCACGCATGTGCGGCGCTCCCGGGCAGGGAAAGTCCTCAACTTACGACCGGTTGGGTAGTCCTCGACTTACGACCAGTTTAGTCCTCGACTTACGACCGGTTTAGTCCTCAACTTATGACTGGTTGGGGGTCGCGGCATTAAAAAGGTTGAGAACCACTGCTTTAAGTCCTGTTAAATAGCTATGAGATTATGACATCTATGTATATCGGGATGGGCAACTATGGCAACTTTAGGACCTGGGGACTGCAACTCCCAGAATTCCTGAGCCAACATGGAGTTGAAGTCCACAGGTCATAAAGTTGCCACAGTTACCCACGCCTGGTCTATATGAATGTGAATAAATACATACGCTGTTCCATTCCGGAGCCCAAATGGAGCAGTGTCCTCATTAGTCACTGAGTAAACATCATAACAGTCTTTTATTTCATCTTTTAAATCTTCAGGTATCGAACATGAGGCATTCCTCACTTTCAGCTGCCGGATACGAGGCACTCCTAAAAGTAGATTCTCGTGGTAGATGAAACTTCTGTTTTCTGCCACTGTTTTATTATTGTACCACATCTCCCAGTACAGTCCATCCAACAACGGCCCCTCAGTGAACTGAAAGATTAAGCAAAATGTTTTAAATTGAGGATCAGCGATGCACTGTCTCTGGTGCTACTTGCTGGACTCTACTAAATTTCTGCCATTAAAAAATATTTTAAAAAGGAATTATTTTTAATTCATATTAAAGTTAATAAGCTGCCTTGAGGATCACTATCTCCTCACATGAGATTTCTTGTCATTTGGTCATTTAATTTAATTTTTAAATATCACTTTTATTAGATAGATATAGATAGGTAGGTAGGTAGGTAGGTAGGTAGGTAGATAGATGATAGCTAGCTAAGATGATAGATGATAAATAGATCATAGAAAGATAGATGATAGATAGATGATAGATAGCTAAGGATAGATAGATGATAAATAGATCATAGAAAGATAGATGATAGATGATAAATAGATTATAGATAGATAGATAGATAGATAGATAGATAGATAGATAGATAGATGATAAATAGATGATAGATAGATAGATAGATAGATAGATAGATAGATAGATAGATAAATAGATAGAGATAGATGATAGCTAGCTAAGATGATAGCTAGATGATAAATAAATCATAGAAAGATAGATGATAGATAGATGATAGATAGCTAGATGATAGCTAGATGATAAATAGATCATAGAAAGATTGATGATAGATAGCTAGACAGACAGACAGATAGATGATAGATATAATAGACGACTAAATATACCTTGGCCAATGGATCTCAATGGAAGGTGATACAATAAAGGAAATTGAACAGCATGTTAAATGTGGTTGAGAGGCATTCAACAAACTACGGTAATAATAATTTTCAAGAATTACCTCCCCCTATGGCTGAAAAGAAATGTTTTTGATCAGTGTGTGTTACCTGCTCTAACATAAGCCAGTGAAATATGGACACTAAGCTCACAATTGATAGAAAAGCAACAAATGTCATAAAGAGCCATGGAAAGATACATGTTCGGCATTACAAGACAAGATAGAAAGACCTGCACATGGATTAGAGCAGAGTTCCCCAACCTTTCCGGCTTTGCGGAACAGCATGGGGGGGAGGGGATGGTTCAGCACAAGCTGCGGGCAAGCGTGTGCATGTGTGCAGCTCCATTTGTTTGAGTGGCGGGCATGAGTGCCTGCCACTGGTACAAATGGAGCATGTATGCACGGGCTTGCCTGCTGCTCATGCATGTGCGTGTGCCTGCTTGCTGCATTGGACACTCTGGTTTTGAACAGCTCATGGCCCGTTAGTGGGCCCTGGCCTGGGGGTTGGGGACCCCATGATTAGAGAACAACCAAAAGTATACAATATCCAAGAGAGTAAAAGAATTGAAATGGAAATGAGCTGGTCACATAGCAAAAAGAACTGATGGCAGGTGGGCCAAGGCAGTCATAGAATGGATCCCACTCGATAAAAAGCGTCCATGAAAGAGACCTAAAACAAAGTGGATCGACAACATCAGCAAGTATTGTGGGCCCAGTTGGCAAAAGAAAGCTCAGGACTGTATTGCGGAAGAGGCCTTCATCCTGCAGTGGATAGACAATGACTAGAATGAGTGTGTGTGTGTCTGTGTGTGTGTGTGTGTGTAAGGCTGAGTCAACCTTGAGCTGGTGAGAATCGAACTGCTAGAGCAGTGGTTCTCAACCTTTTTAATGCCGCGACCACCAACCGGTCGTAAGTTGAGGACTAAACCGGTCGTAAGTCGAGGACTAAACCGGTCGTAAGTCGAGGACTACCCAACCGGTCGTAAGTCAAGGACTTTCCCTGCCCGGGAGCGCCACGCATGCGTGGTTCCGCCCCCTGCGCCGGCCGAGGCGTAGCTGGCAAGCTGCAGAGACGGAGCAGGCCGACCACCAGCTGGCCCAGCTCAAGGAAGGTAAGGCACCCGCCGGAAAAGGGGAAAAAATGGCGGACAGCCTTGCTTGGCGACCCCCATGAAATGGTCAATCGACCCCAAATGGATCGCGACCCATAGGTTGAGAATCGCTGTGCTAGAGTCAGCAGAATTAGCCTGCAATGCTGCATTCTAACCACTGTGCCACCAGGGCTCTCATAATATGTTAAATCTGAGTGATATGCATATAGCTTAAAGATATCAAGAATCACATTTCAATTAGTACCTTCCAGAAGTCTTCCATAGTAGACAAAGATCTGAAATTGGTTTTCTCCATCTTTGATACTGGTGTATCGAGAAAGAGCTGGGACATTACTCTCGTGTAGTAGTAAATGTTAGAATTCACCATTCCGTAAGATACTGTAAACATGAATTTGGAAATAATATGTATTTCAGATAGAAATTTATTAATCATCATCTTCAACTGTAACATGTAAGCAAGCATAAAGTAATATTTTCTTATGTGCTATATTATCAAGAATTATCTCACATGGGGCTCTTTAGGATGAACCTAGATACCAGAGATTGTCTATGTTTAATGCTAAATGCACAAGAAGTAAGTCTTCCTCCACATATTATGAATGAATTTTCCCAACATCAACCAAAAAGTAAATACAGTTCTTCTGTATTCTTTTCAACAGATCCTTCATACCTTTCCAGAAACTCTTGTGTTCAAAGAACCCAGGACAATGGGGAACCTGTAGCCATCTAAAATAATAAGACGGATTGAGGTATATGCGTATTTGCTGTTTATTTTCTTCTTTCTTTTACTTTGTTTTAGTTGCGGGCTAAATGCCGTAATAAAACTGAATTGAAACTGAAATTATCCAGATTCAGTTTCTGAAGAAAATGGACACTGAAGGCAGTCCTCTTATCCAATCATTAGGACATGGACTAGTTTCTAATACTAAACCTATTTGTTTATATTTAATATTTGAAAAAGCAAAAAGCAAAAACATAAAAAAGGTACACGCATTTCTAATTTATTTGTTTTGGTGTCCAGAAAAGCATCTGCAGTGAAGTTGGTTTACTTAGTGAAGCATTAACTGTAGCAAAATTCAGTTAATCGCCTGCCCAATTATACTCTCTAGCAGAAATAAAACTCCGCAGGAGACTGCATTGCAGACAAAAGACAGAGCTCTT